ATCGCCCATTTCGTCGTCTTCTTCCTCGGGATTCACGATAAGCCCTAATTTCTGTATCTCTGATCCAATCGCCCCTTTCATTACCACAATTTTCTCATTTTCTTCACAGTTTGTCTTGCTTTCGATCAAACCTTGCTTGCCATCCTCAAAGTCAATCGCTTTATCACTCAAAATTGCTCTTTTTTTGTCACCGGCGGTTGGGTATATGACATTAGCCCCGCCATTTTTAGATCCTTGACCACAAGGATCAAGATTTGGAAAGCAACGGCGAAGAAAAGTCGCATCTTCCCATGTCTGAAGCTGAGGATGTGTATCATGCCAAAGGATCAAAACCTGAGGTAATTCCTTTCCACTGCGCAAGACCATTCTTTTACCAGTAATAGCAATGGGTGAAGCATGAATAACACCCTCGTCATTTGTATCAGGAAGCTGGAGTGAAGCTTGAGTAGGAGGATTCAATCGCCGCTTGAGGAGAGAGCAATGAAATACCGGATGGATCTTGGAGTCAGGAGGAAGAGCCAATCGGTAAGATACTGGGCCAATCTTTTCTAGGATAGTATAAGGGCCATAAAATTTAGCCGATAACTTGACATTCCTCCTTAAAGCAACTGAATTTTGCCGGTAGGGTTGGAGTTTTAAAAATACCTGCTCTCCCACTTTAAATTGTGTGTCTTCCCTTTTTGAGTCAGCATAAAATTTCATGCGTGTCTGTGCTTGCTGCAAATTCATTTTTAGTTGTTGGGCTTGCATTTGTCTTTCATGTAAAAGTTCTGTGACATCAGTTTGGGTAGAGTCAAGATAGGGAACCATAGAGAAACTTTGAGGTGGGTAGCCATATAAAGCCTGAAATGGGGTCATTTTGAGACTAGTGTGGAAATTGGTGTTGTACCAATATTCTGCAAGAGGCAACCATTTAAGCCATTGCCTGGGATTAGTATGAACCATGCTTCTGAGGTAGTTCTCAAGGCATTGGTTCAGCCTCTCTGATTGCCCATCTGATTGAGGGTGATAGGAAGAAGACATGTTGAGTTGAACCCCTAGGAGTTTAAAGAGCTCTTTCCAAAATGCACTGGTGAATACTTTGTCTCGATCTGAGACAATACTCAGTGGGAGACCATGTAATTTGTAAATAGAATCTAGGAACAACTTAGCCACCATAGGAGCAGTAAAAGGGTGGGACAGGGATAGAAAATGAGCATATTTGGTATACCTGTC